CTAATACAAAAAATTGCTTCCTTTCTTTCATGTAGTTGCTTATTATATCATCATTTTGTCTTTATTTCATCAAAAAACAAATAAATAAACTTCATATTGGAAAACATTTTCTCTTATATGAAATGAAAAATCAATAGCAAATTGATTATTACATATGAATCTTTTCAGTCGAGGGTAATGCGAGTCCGTCTCGACGAGCGTTATTTATCCGTTAGCGCGCAATGATACTGAGCATAAGAACGTTAATCTATCTGCTATTTTCTCGATCTATTCTCGGCCATAACACAAGGATGATGAATGGGATATTGTTGAATATTGTATAACCCAATCTTTTTATTTCTTTATTGGCTTTTTTAATCCTTTTATGGGAAAACAAACTATAATAATAGATTAACTAATCAATAAAGTACTATAAATATTTGTGTCTCATTTATAGAAGAGATAATGCTTTTGTTTGTCGAACACTGAAACGTCCCTCTATATTCTGAAAGAAATATCCCATCAATTATCACAATGTCTTATTCAAATTTGACACCTTTAGATAATGCATGTTGAATCATATAATTCTTTTTTTATCGAAAATTACTGAATGTCATCATATAAAATTCATTCATTACTCTCAACACATCCAAGCTAGACGACTTGCAAAAATGCATTATTTATGGTGTTTATTCTATAGATAAACCTGTTTTAACTCAACTTTCGTGAAAAACGATTTACTCAAAATAGTTTTAAATTATTTTTTAATGTTGAAAAAAGAATTATTGATATAGTAAAGATTTTGTGTAAGTTTTGAAGCTAGATATTTTTTCGAGGCTGCCGCCTTCGCCACGATCAACTCTGTTGTTAATTAATAAAATAAAGAAAATGTTTTTTATTGATATTGTTGTAAAATATGATTTGGTTTATCAAAATTGACAACTGAACCTTTATCTAAAACTAGAATTCTATCACAATTAATAATTGTATTCAACCGATGAGCAATTATTAATACAGTTCGATTAGAAAATTTTTCTTTAATTACATTTTGAATAATTTCATCAGTTTTATAATCAATATTTGCTGTACCTTCATCAATTAAAAGAATTTTTGTTTGTTTTAAAATAGTTCGTGCAATAGAAATTAATTGACATTGACCAATACTTAAATTTAATCCATTTTCATTTATATTCATTGAAAGATCAAAGGAATTTTTCAAAAGAAATTCTTTAAGTTGTACATCATTTAAGACATTCCAACATTGTTCATCAGAATATTGATTAAATGGATCAAGATTATATCGAAGTGTACCGGAAAATAAAATTGAATGTTGTGGTATTATACTTAGATTTATTCGTAATTGTTTAAGTGTTATTTGACTTATATCAATATTATCAATGAAGATTTGACCTTGAATATTTTTTTCATTGATAAATCGAAATAAACTTTTAAAAAGAGATGATTTTCCAGCACCAGTTCGACCAATAATACCAATTTTTTCACCGGAATTGATTTCAATATGAATATTTTTGAGAATATTTTCTAAATTTGATCGATAACTAAAGGAATAATGATAAAATTGAATTTTTCCATTACTAGGCCATGTTAATGGAAGTGAAATTAATTGTCTATTATCATTAGAATCTTCTTCTTCTTTTGGAAGATGACCATATTCATCAATACGTTCAGCACTTATTTGAAATAAATCAGCTTCAGTTAATCTTCGAATACTTCGTTGTGGTCGATATGCAATTGTCATTGAATAAACTAATATAAATGCTATCATTGACGATGGAATTTGTTGAGAAAAAAATATTAGAAATAATGATGTACCAAACATAATTAAACTAGCTAAAAATTCCAATCTTAAATATGACCATTGTCCTGCACCTTCAATATTTAAATGTGTTCTTATATTATTATCTAATCGTTCATGAAATAATTTTAAAAAATATTCTTCTTTATTAAATATACGAATTGTTATTAAATTATTTAATGATGATGTATACTGACTATATATTGGACTACGTGTTAAACTTTCTAATTCTTTTAATTGCCGATTTGTTTTCCAATAAAAATAGCAAAGATAAATAAATATTGGAATTAATATAAAAAATAATACTATAACATATGAATTTGTTATACTTATCATTATAAATGAACCAATTAATGTTGATAATGTTAATAAACCGAAAAGTAATGATCGTGGTAAAGATTCATCAAGAACTTGTTGATCTTTACTGATACGATTAAGGTTTCTCCCAATAGGATTACTTTCAAAAAATAACATTGATGTATATAATAAGCTATTAACCATTTGATTATGTAAATAATTTGATCCATTTAAAAATATATAATAAAAATAATTCATAGATAAATAATTGATAATAATAAGAAATAATGTTAGAAGAACATAAATTAAAAGAAAATTTTCCGAATTATTTTTTTCATTATTGGAATTTTTAACATTTTGACTAAGCCAATAATTAGTTCCATCAAAAAAGATTTCATTGGAAATAAATAAAACTATTAATAAAATTAGACCAAATAAGCCACATGGTGGTGCTGTAAATAATCGATACCATAAAGACCATTTTGAATTTTGATTATATGAAATTTCTTCACAAATAATTGGCTGATTATCAATTGTATTAATTTTTTCATCTAACATATCGCTTAAAAATGATTTCTTATCTTTAACATTTAAAGTTTTTGTAAAAGAACTTTCATTGAAATCTTTAATAGATCCATTTGACATATAAATTATTTGATTTGCATTTTCAAGATATTCAATTTGATGTGTAACTAATAAACATGTTTTATTTTTTAATAAACCATTTCTACCAAAACAACGATCATAAATTTGTTTGGCAACAGTATAATCAACTGCAGATAATGGATCATCAATTAAATAAATATCAGCTTTTCTATATAAAACTCTTGCTAATGCTATTCGAACTTTTTGTCCACCACTTAAATTAATACCTTTTTCTCCAAGAAATGTTAAATCACCAGTCGATCCAAATGAATGAAAATCTTGCTCAAGACAACAAGCATGAATAATTTCATGATAACGTTTTTGATCATAAATTTCATTAAAAATTATATTATTTCTTATTGTATCAAGAAATATTGATGGCGTTTGTGATAAATATGAAAATGTACTTTGATTTGTATTTATTTCGCCATCAATAATATTCATTTCACCAAGAATAGCACAGAGTAATGAAGATTTACCAGAACCAACTTCACCATAAATGCCAATTAAACTACCTGATGAAATTCGAAGATTAATCGATAATAAATGTATTTTATTTAAATTCCAAGAAAAATTTCCATTTTTTATTTCAATTTCCCCTTTTTGTTCATTATTATTCATTGTTGTTAACACAACATGTGTTGTTTGATTTTGTTCTAAAATTAATTTAATAAATGTTGATATTCTATTAGCTGCAAATTTTGCTTCAAGAAGTTTTTCCAAAGTAAACGAAAAATAATGCATAAATGTATCACGTATCAATGAAAAATAAGCTAAAGCAATAAATATATCAATAGAATTCAATGAATAATTTAATAAATAACAACTACTAAATGTTATACATGATAAAAGTGATGATGAAATAAAAAATTGATTAATAGATAATGCACGAAAATATGAAGATTTTCGAATCGAATTCATTTCTTTATCACGTATTTGTTTAATTTGTTCTTTGATTAATTCTTCCCAATTATTCATTTTAATAATATCACATCCGGAAATCATTTCATTAAATAAATTAACACGTTTATCACTATATAAACATGTTATATGACGATATTTTCCTAAAATATAACCAATAATTAATTGTATTAGAATAATTAGAAGAATAACTGAATAACCAATTAATATTGCTATTGGATTCATTATATAAGAAAGTATTAGAAAAACCAAGATGGAAATAACAAATCCTTCCCAAATTTTATGCGCAAATGCAAATGCATCTTCTAATTTTTGTGTATCATTTGCCATTAAATTAATCATATAACCAATTTGAATTTTTTGTCGTGTTATTAATTTCATTGATAAGGAATTTCTATAAATGAATGACATAAATGCATTTCGAATTCTTATACCAACACGAAATGAATAAAAATCAGCTTGACGATAGCATATACCATTTAATAAGGAACATAATAATAATAATATAGAATAAATATATATTTTATTCGAAAATGGATTTAAATTTAGAACAAATAAGCGTATTATTAATGGTAAACTTAATTGTAAAAATAATGATGGAATATGTAATAAACCTGCAATGAAATATTCTTTACCAAATTCTTTTGAAATGATATTCCATATGGAAAGTTTTGTCCAATCATAAGCTTCTAATCTTTTTAATAATATTGAAGATTTATCATTAAATGGTAAATTATCTAAATCATCAAGAAGTAATTTTCGTTTATAACCAATTGAAAGTATTGGATTAATCCACCACCAAAATAATAAATATGGCCATCGAATATAAGACGATTCTGCCCATTCAAGACGTGATAATGATATATTTTCATCATCGTCAGTTTTATTATCAATCAATTTTGTCGATTCATCACTTTCTTCATGAAACATATTTTATATTATTCGTCAGCGACTATTTCATCTACCTGATAAAATAGTCAGCTATAATCATTGAAGCATATCCTCATTTTCTTTTTTTCATCAGTAATTTGTGATCAAATCAAGTATTCGTGGCAATCTATGATTGTACACTTTTTATTTTCTCTTCAAATACTCATGGCGATCTTGCAGTGGCGGAGCCAAGGGGCCAGAGGGGGCTCACCCTCCCCCCTCCCATAGCGAAAGGACGGAGAGACATAAGCAATGCAAAATGGGCGCATGGTTTTCTGTTCGAATCTCTTATTCAATGTTTCTCGGAAGATTAAACAAGCGTTTGTAAAATAAACTGAAGCATAATTCTGTATATGGAAAGTCACTTTGAAGTGAAAATCTCTCTCGATATTGTATAGGCTTTTAGAGATAATCGTGCTATTTTTCGAGGTCCAGCATTTGATCGAAATGGATACTTTTTGAAAAATATTTAAAGCTGAATCTATCACCACTAGAAAGAGGAAAGAAAGTGCTACAAACTGGGATGTTCTTAATTTCATTTCAAGATGGGCCTGATATTTAAAAAAGCCAAAAATTATCGCTGCTATGCAGAAAATACTCGATTTCCCCCTCCCCTTAAATCGATTTTTCGCCATTCTTTTCTACAGAACATTTAACTCCGATCATTTTTTTTTTGAAAATCAACATCTAACAACACTTAAATGACTATTTTCGAATATTAAAAAAATTTCAATGCTTTTTTCTGATAAAATTTGGATAAATCAATATATTTTCGATCACTTTTTCTATACAAGTCAATACTGACATCACTATACTTTCTAAAAACTATATGTAGGATATTGTTTCGATGAGTTTATGCTTTTTAAACGTATGAATCATCATAAAAGTATCCACTTATAGAACGAAAAAGTCCGTTAGTCTGATAGTTGTAAGCTATATGTATGATTTATCGTAAACGTCCATCTAAAGAATGAAAAAGTCAGTTAGTTTGACAGTTATACCGTTCGTCTCTTGTTGTAATATCAACTGAAATCGTTATTTTCTCATCGTTAATTGTTTTACCCTTAATTTGTAAAATACGATGCCACATGCTTCGCGACTGAAATGTGCGGATTGTAACAAAGTTATTAAATACGTGAATGCACGGCGTATTAGTAATCGTTTATTGCAATTATATCTTTCGGCTCGTACTCAAGAGATAATTGATTCCACATGTTATATTTGTAAGCGATGTCGGTCGAAATTTCATAGATGGTATCAGAAAATGAAAGACCAAATCGTTGACTTATAAGAGGTAATATCTGAGCTGACTTTTTCTATGAAAGGTTTCTTTTTAACTCAAAGACGAATATTGGAATTGAAAAAAGTTCGAAATATACACAATGGACAGAAAAAATGGAGTCAGTGGAAATTCAGGTTTATCGCTGTCCTAAAAATGAAAGGTAGAAGATTCTTTTTTCTGTTTTTATATTTTGAGATTAAACAACTTATGTAGGTCGTGCATTGTTTGCGGACAAAGGAATGGTACCAATCGAGTTCGTTTGGATGAATACAATCGAAATATATTATTTTTGAAGAGAGGAATTTATGTATTACCAGGAACTCGGTGCTGCCGTGATCATTTTTACGAAGATAAATTGTCGTACGACACTGTTTACCGAATTATACCATATACATCTGAATTTGTCTCATTTAGTTCTAATGAAATTCAAAAAATCTTCACTGACTTTCGTACATTACTTCAACATCGACAAGCACTTGATTTTTGACAATAATGCTTCTCTTGATGATGATGCTTATTATAATATTACTGGTCTACGAAAAAGTAGGACAACGTGTAAATTCTGTTCCCCATTGGTTACAGATCTAATCTTAAGCAGCAGTAACTAATCTCTCTTTTCAGTAGATTTTGCGAATTGATAAATCATTGACATACATTGAAAAGCGCTTCATAACTTGTTCTATATCTAATTCATGCTTATGCTTAGATCAATTCAACGATCTTCTTGCACAATTGCAGTCAATGCGAAATTCAAAACTTCGTTCCGTTCGAGTCGCGCTTGCGGTATTTCTTGCCAAGTTCCGTCTCGGTCTCAGTAATCGAGTTCTAGCAACTATATTTGATTTAAAAGGTAACCGAACAGTTTCTAAAATAATCAATCAATTGCGACAAGTTTTGACGATAGATTTTGTTCCACATCGTATCGGTTTGAATCATAAGCTTTGTATTGTTATGGATGATACCTATATTCCAATCCAAAATCAAGTAATCATCTGTTTCAAAGAAGAACATACAGTATGCGCAAACATAAAAATCTTGTAAAGCCAATGATAATAACTGCGACAGTACGTATTGATTGAAAATAAAGTCTATATATTTCTTTCTAATATTTAAAATGATAATTAGTATAATTATATCGCAAGGCAGCTGTTAGAGAATCAGTAGTGCATGCAATAGAACGAGTAAACAGGAAAAAGGAATGTAAATGCTCTGAATTCATCAACATTTTGTTTTTGAGAAAATGTGACAGAAGTTTTAATCATTTCATTGTAATATAGGACGAATACATACTGGCAGTATTTGGCCCATTCTTAGCTGATGGACACAACAACAACGCGTCGATTATTCAACACATCATGAAGAATGATGATCAAGGTATCGCGAGTTGGCTCCACGACGACGATGTTATCATTGTCGATCATGGCTTTCGCGATGCAGTCAACTCTATGGAAGAACTTGGTTTATGTGTTGAAATTCCCTCATTTCTGAAAGGCAAAAAACAATTTTCAACACAAGAAGCGAATCGAACTCGAACTATTACTAAAAACCGTCGGATCATCGAAAGTGGCACATATACACACATTTTTTTCCTTTTCTTATTCAGTTTTACATAATTGTATAGTGAATGGGAAAACCAAAGAATGGAAGTATTTTAACTATCTTCAAAACTCATCTCTTCGATTTTTACCCGATGATATGGATATTGTTTGTGCTTTACACAATGCGTTTCGTCAAGCAGTAATGAGAGATCCGACAAATGGAATCGAATTAGCTAAAATCATGTTGGAGCAGATTCAAAAAGAGAACGAACTTGACAAAAGGTTGATACAGATATGTAATGATAAGAAAGCACACTGGAGAAAATATGATTCCAGAATGTGTTCATTTCCTTCCTTAACTCAAGAAGATGTCCGAAACATTTGCTGCGGTTAGACTAAATTTTTTCATCGAGTGCCCAGGTCATTCTCACTCGGTCGGAACCAGCCGGTTTCTTTAAATTCCTTGGCGCTGGATTCCGGCCGGCTTTTTACTGGTTTATATCGGAAAGATCCTATAGGTTCCAGATGGAAACGATGATAGTTCTGAACCAACTGGATCCGGCTATAAAAGTATTACTACCCATGTCAGAATGTATACATCGGTTCCGACCGGTACCACATAAATCCG